CTGAAAAAAATGAAGAGAATAATTAAAGATAGAATATCTATCTATCTATCTGTCTGTCTGTCTGTCTGTCTGTCTGTGGTCTAAGTCTATTCATATCTATCTATCTCATTCTATTCCTCGTCTATATAGCCTTCTATCTACTCATATCTATTTCAGTCTAGTCAAATCTGTCTATCTATCTATGTATCTAAGTCTATTCATATGTATCTATTTCTATATCTCATTCTATTACTCGTCTATATATACATCTATCTACTCATCTATCTCAGTCTAGTCAAATCTATGTATGTATGTACATATGTATGTATGTATCTATTTATTTATCTAACTGTCTGTCTATCTAAGTCTATTCATATCTATCTATCTCATTCTATTCATCGTATATATAGCCATCTATCTACTCATATCTATCTCAGTCTAGTCAAATCTATCTGTCTGTCTATCTATCTATCTATCTATGTCTACTCATATGTATCTATTTATCTATCACATTCTATTCCTCGTCTACATAGCCATCTATCTACTCATATCTCAGTCTAGTTAAATCTATGTATGTATGTATCTATCTGTCTATCTGTCTAAGTCTATCCATATCTATCTCATTCTATTCCTCGTCTATATAACCTACTCATTGCTATCTCAGTCTAGTCAAATCTATCTATCTATATCATTCTTTTGCTATCCGTTTGTGTGTCTATTTTAGTCTGGCTACATACATTCTTCAGTGTATCTAGCCACTCGTATTTCTTCATATCTATCACATTTGAATGGTTATATCTATTTATCTCTCCCATCCGTCTTGATCTGTTTGGGAAGAAGATATCCAAGTGGAACTCCTTACTAAAGAAATATGAAGGGAATGAGAATAGTTCACTTCAATGTGGCGTGGCAGGTTCTAGACTGGTGGGGGTGCTACAGTTGAGGGAACTAAGGAATGTTGTACGTTTGAACATTTCCTATGGAAAACACAGAGAGAGAGAGAGTAGCTAGAGGATTGTAACTTTTCGTCTCTGTGAAAAGGAATTGTAAGGTGGAAAACAATTCATCACCTAAAATTCTAATTTATCTGAATTTTTATAAATGTCTATCTCTATTTGTCATTTGAGCTTTCCTTCATTTTCTTATGATATCGAACCAGCAAACATGAACTTTGTCAAGACTGATAAGTGACTACTGGACGACACCAGCACAGATATGACCGCAGTACTCCATTTTCGGCCTGAACTGGCTCTTGTAACGGTAGAGCATAGCATAGGAGTCAGGTACTTACTGGCGCGGTACAAGGAAAAGAATATCTGTCCAGCATTTTTAGCGATTAATCGTATATATAAGTTTTACTTGAAGTCTGGGGGAGGTTAAGTACCAACAGGCGTTCAAGTCAAAGTGACTCCTAGAGAGAGAGAATCTGTTCATTGCAATAGATGGACATTCAAGGTTACTCGAGGAAGATGAAACGTTAGAAGTTTAGTTTTTGAGGCATTGAATTTGTTTCTCCCATTGTTGTTAGAGATCAGTTGACAGCTTCTGGTCATTTAAATATTTGGAGGTGCACCCATATACCGTTATAACATCTGCATAAATATTCACGAGAGATCAGAGTATGCTCTTAGGCAGGGCCTTAATATAAATCAGGAATATGGTTTGACCGATGATGGGCCTTGGGAGATTGTCCATTAACAACTACCTTCATGGACCTACCTGTCAAAAATGATTTCATAATTGAGAAAACTCTTCCAGTGATTCTGTAGAGCTTGTGTGGCAACCTCTTGTGTCAAAAGCTTTCGATATATCTAATCTCATCGTTCACTTCATGTGTTTGTTCTCTAATGCCTCACTGATTCTGTAATTACAGATAGGATATCAGCAGTAGACCGGTTAGATTGAAATCCATATTGATTATCGCTCAAGAGGTTGTCCTTTTTGAAATCTAAGAAATTTAAGCTGCTTGAACGTGCATTGGGCTTTCAGCAAGAAAGCAAACACTGCGTTGTGCTCTTGTTTCATTTTTAAATTTTGAAAATAATTTTTTGGTACATTTTGATTCGTGGGAAAACAGCTGCGTTTGTTTTTCATCAAAAACCAATAAAAAGAGGTTTCCCTCCAAATTCCGAGGAGTATATTTTGAGCCTACCTGTAGGTTCTGCCGGAATCCAGGTCGCCCCGTCCTAGAAAGAAAACAAGGCAAAAGAATTTTGACACCCATCAGACGAGAACTGAAAGGAACAACAAGGTCGCACCCCACGTCAAGGAAAAGACTTTGGTTGGTGTACTAGATTTATTCTCCGCTGTTAACAGGAAATTATTCTGTAAAAACTATTCAAACAAATATTTCTCATTTTCTTCACTTTATCTAGTTTTCCTTTCTGAGGATCTTCTTCGTATGCAATATTATAATTTTAATCATAAAATAGCATATTTCATTTTCTGTTGTGGTGTCCTCCCTATAAAGAATCTATGTTGGACTCTTCCGCCTACTATAAGATTAGTAGGAGAGAAGGCCTTGGGGGAAAAGTCGCATAGATTGTTCAACTGTCGACCTCTCTGCCTCAGCAGAGAGGAACTCGGACGAAGCTTTGCCGCAGGTAGACAGTCCCTGAATCCGTTTAGGCGGGTTCAAAGAGAATATTTTTGGCCGAGCCTACGGGCTCGGAAAACCCAGAATAAACCGGCTTTGTGCCGCATACACCCTCGTGGGGGGGCTGTTAAATATTAACAGTTGAATAGATTGAACGCTGGGTCATCCTACACAAACTCACTAGTCGTGTAATACTCTTCTGTTGTACTTACTGTTTAATATATTATATACTAGCAGTAGAGCCCGGCGTTGCCCGGTGATGTAACAGTAAGAGATAGATCAAGTATCAACCATCATAAAGACTGAAAAATAAAATTGACAAAGATTATTGTTTAAGGTTGACAGACATGCATGTCTTAATTAGTTTTTTTTTACGAACTGGTCAAACCCAAACCCAAGCTCAAACAAAAACATTGTTTTCAATCGTTATGAGTCTATCGATTGAATAGAACTTTATTATAAACAATTGTCTTGTAAATGGAATTTTTAAAGCATTCTGAATGTAAAAATAAAGAAAAAAGTGTGCAAGACAATAAGAAACACTACCTGCCAAAAAGAAAGTGAATTTTTGTTGAAATCGGTTGAAAAATGTAAGAAATTCGATCCCATATATAAACGAACACACACACAAACAACCAATCTGGGTTTTATAATAAGTATAACACGATGTGAGTTGTCTCCCTTTCATTAATGCCTCTTAATCGTGTTTTCAAATTGATTTCATGCAAAAACAATTGTTTTTCCAATTTTTGGCGCTGTTAGAACCACCGCCAGGTAATTTTACGTAGTCCTGTGAAGTTTTGTTGAAATCGGTTGAAAAATGTAGGAAATACGATCCCATATATAAACGTACAGACACACACACACACACAATCTGCGTTTTATAATAAGTAAGATCTGCAACACTTGTTTTGCTATTTCTTTAACCATTTACTTGGTCACAACATCTTGGCGACGAAGGATTCGAAGAAACGGACTTCACGTTAAATCATAAAAAAATTTTTTACCAGTGTTTACAACAGTGGTGAAGAAAGGAATTCTAATCAAACTCTACGACAAAATGTTATCCAGTGTTAATTACAAAACTGACAGTGAAAAAAAGAAACGCTTCAAAACAATAGGATTTCTACAAGTTCAATTCAGTGGTTGCGAAGAATCTTGGTGAACCTTGTTATTTTTTTCCATTTCAACAAGTCAGTAAAAGAATCGTACAAGTCAAACAGGTTAAGAGGATAAAGAGACAAAAATCTCCCCTCTCATTTCTTAATTTTAGGTACCACCGCAGTAAAATAGATGAATTTAAAAGTGTAATGCTAGAGTTGATGAAACACCAACAGGAACAACAACTACAATTCCAACGAGAACAAGCAGAATACCAGAAGAAATTTAAAGAATTCCACCTAGAAATTCAGGTTAGACAACAGAAACTGGAAGAAATGCTCCTTCAAACACAGAATGAGCAAAGGCACTTTGAGGACAGCCAAAACGAGTTCTCTCAAAATCCTATAAGGAGTGCTATTGAAAATTTCACGTTTGCACCTAAAGAAGAAATTACATTCGCTTCGTACTTTACGCGTAAAGTTTAAAGTTTAAAGCCAATGTAATACAATACTGATTATGCAATTTGGGCTGACCATAAAAAGGTCGTCTACTCCTCAGGAAATTAGGCACAGCAGAATATACTAAGTTTGTTAACTATATTTTGCCTAAGAAAACCAGCGACTTGAAATTTAAAGAAGTGATTCAATCATTAACAGAACTCTTCAATCCAAAAACATCACTGTTCTACAAGCGTTGAAAATGAATGAATCTCACCCGCAAAGACGACGAAGATTATACTACTTTCATGAGTGTAGTGAATAAACACTGCGATGATTTCAAATTGGCAGAGATAAGCGCCAATAATTTTAAATGCCTGATTTCGTCCAGGGTTTGAAAGACGCCGAAATACTTCGTAGTGTACTCAATAAGCTTGAAAACGAGTCAGGTGTTACTTTACAGCAAGTTGCCGAAGATTGCCAACGTTTCGTGAACGTCAGAGAGGATTCGAAAAACACCGAACAGAGTGGCGTGGCTCACATTAAAGAAATACGCCAAAGAAAAATTAAAAAAGGGTCAACCAAAAAATAATTTAGTTACTTTGCCGTCAGGATGATGATTCGTGTGTGATCAATTGCATTGGTATAGATATTGTCCTTTTAAAGATAAAATATGTTTTAGTTGCGATAAATTGGGACACAAAAGTTCCCAATGCAGGATTATGAAAAAGACAAAAAAAAATTTGTAAAAATTACCAAGTCTGATGAACCAGAAAGTCGTAACATCAGGAAATATATTGAAATGCAAATATTTAACAAAAATATAAGGCTACAGCTTGATTCAGGTTCAGACTTATCCATAATTAATTATCAAACATGGAAAAACC